ACAAGCCATTCCTTAATGCAATTGTAGTGAAACTCATGACCACAGTCCAGCTTACCGAGCTCTTCGCCGTCACCATAATCCTCCTATGAACGGTTTCCAGGAACATAAATGGAAATTAATTTGAATCCATCTTGTGTTGCAAAATATTGAAAATAGTGTTGTAGTATTAGATACTAAAAATTTCGTTTCAATAATAAAGTTTAAAAATGTGAAATTAAAATAGAACATGTAACCAGATGGAACTGAATAAATAGAAGAAGAGTTTTGTTGAGACCTGAATGAACAGTTTCCTTAAGACATATTCGTCATCTCCTCGGTGTTTTGAGTAATGTTGGACGTCGGTCTCCCAGGATACAACAACAAACGTTCACAACAGTAAACACAACCGAAGTGAACAATCGAACACAATATTTGTCTTTATCTATCACCGGAAAATGGCTTTGGAAGAATCATAGAATTCAAAGGAAAGTATTTGAAAGAAAATAGTAAAAAGTTGTATGTTGAGATGTGTCACAACTTAGCCTTTATATAGGGAGAGAAATTTCTATTGAAAGGTTAAGACCTTTAAATGAAATGACTTAACCATTTGATTAAAAATTATAACCTTTTGATCAAAAGGTTAACATGAAAAGACATGACTTTTGGGGTGAAATGAAATAACTATTTTTCATGAAAAGACTTAATTATTTTTCATGAATAGTCATGATCAATTCATTCATATTTTTCCAACAATCCCCCACATGAATAAATTTGATTGTTTAAAACATTGACTCAATGTGGTGATAGATTCTACGTTCGATATTTGCATAGGATAGATAGGCGTCCCCCTTTGAACCTTCCCCTGTGAAAATATGTTTACCTTACTGGCTGTCCAGTAGACGTGATGTCCTTGAACTGTCCTACCGTTTGTGTAAGCGATGACATACCTCACATAAATATCTTACTGACAAGAGTTTGGTTCTCATGGTTATGTCCATATAGCCGTGGACATCTCCTGGTTCTGCAAAAGCTTAGAGAATAATGCCCAAATAGTCTCTTTGAAGCGACTCCACTTCACTCTCACATAACTAACTTATGTTATTAGGTTCAACGAAACACATATTGGTCATTAAAATCATTGTTTAACCTTATCCACATTTTAGCCAATGTTTTCATCATAGGAATGGGCTTGGGGATAAAAACCCCCCACAGTGACCTCACCAGGTCTATGCAAGTAGGTTGTCCCATTGAACCTAGATAATGGGATCTTCAGTCAGCTAAGTTGGGTTTTCCTTCACATAGAGCCTTAACAATTCATGGTCTTTAGTCTCATTCCTCTTGATGTTTTATCAACATTATTTCGATTCAACCCTTTGGTTAGCGGATCCATAATGTTATCTTTTGATCTTACAAAATCAATAGAAATAACTCCAGTTGAGATCAATTGTCTAATGGTATTGTGTCGACGTCGTATATGTCTCGACTTACCATTATACTTGTGCTCTACCAATTGTTGCATGGTTATCACAATATATACATATTTTGGGTACAAGCTTTGGCCATTCAGGAATATCCTCCAAAAAATTTCGTAACCATTCTATCTTTGCTCCAGTTTTGGCCAAGGCTACAATTTTGTAACCATTTTGGTTATAATTGTTTATCTTAAGGATTTTCATGACAGAGCTCCTCCTCCCAAAGTGAAAATATAACCACTTATTCCTTTCGTATCTTGAATATCAGATATCCAACTGGCATCAGAGAATCCTTCTAACACAGAAGGATCTCTAGAATAATGCAATCCATAGTTTCGAGTATATCTGAGATTTATCAATACCCTTACAATTGTTTTCCAATGTTTCTCCCCTATATTACTTGTAAATCTGCTTAAACTGCTTACAGTGAAAGCAATATCAGGTCTAGTTCAACTCATAAGGTACATTAGACTGCTTATGATCCTTTCATATTCCACTTGATTAACACTTTCACCTTTATTTTTAGATAGATGTTGACTTGTATCTATCGGAGTTTTGGCTACACTAGAATCATCCTTGCCAAAATTTTCAAGAATATTGTCTACATAGTGTGACTGAGTCAATATGAGACCTTAAGATGACCTTTTGATTTGGATGCCCAAAAACATGTCAGCAAGTCCCATGTCTTTCATGTCAAATTTTGAATTTAACATATTTTTGGTACGTTTTATCATTTCATTGTTACTCCCAACAATGAGTATGTCGTCAACATATAGGCATAGGATTACATACCCATCAACAATGATTTTGACATACACACATTTGACACACTCATTTATCTTAAATCCATTTGATATCATAATATTATCAAACTTTTCATACCATTGCTTTGGTGCTTACTTAAGTCCATATAATGACTTTACCAACTTACATACTTTCTTTTCTTGTCCTGGAGCTACATAACCCTCAGGTTGTTCCATATAAATTTCCTCATCAAGGTCTCCATTAAGAAAAGTGGTCTTAACATCCATTTGATGTACTTCTAAATTTCGTAAAGCGGCAATTGCAAGTATCATTCTTATAGAAGTTATTATTGATACGTGTGAATATGTATCAAAGTAATCAAGACATTTCTTTTGTCGGTACCCTTTAATAACCAATTTGGCCTTGTACTTATAAATTGTTCCATCTACTTTCACTTTTCGTTTGAAAATCCATTTAGAATTTAATGGTTTAATTCCATGAGGAAGATCCACTAATTCCAATGTATGATTTTGCATGATGGAATCAATTTCACTCTTGATGGCATCTTTCCAAAAATTACTTTCAGATGAATGTATAGCTTCGCTATAAGTTACAAGTTCAGTCTCTAGCATATAGGTTAGAAAATTTGATCCAAAGGATTTTTCTATCCGTGCCCTTTTACTTCTTCTTGGCTCTATCTCGACTTCAACCTCTTTTTGGAAGTCTTGACTATTTTCATTAATAGTTTCTAAAGTTCATTTCCTTGAACTTGAGCCAACTTCTCTAATTTTACAAGGAAATATATTTTCAAAGAATGAGGCATTTTTAGATTATAATATCGTATTCTTGTGAATTTTTGGATTCTTTGATTCATGCACAAGAAATTGATATGCATTGTTGTGGTGAGCATAACCAATGAAAATACAATCCACTGTTTTAGGACCTATTTTCATTTGCTTTGATAAATGAGCTATTACCTTTACAAGACATCCCCACACTTTCAAGTAATTGTAGGAAAGTTTCTTGCCTATCCACAACTCATATGGTGTCTTGTCTTTTTTCTTGCAGGGCACCTTATTTAAAAGGTAATTTGCTGATAAGACAGTTTCACCCCACATGTTCTGTGACAACCCATAACTTTCTAGCATAGTGTTCATCATTTCCTTTAATACTTGATTTTTCCGCTCTGTGACTATATTCAATTGAGGATAATATGGTGGTATTACTTCATGAATAATACCATGTTGTGCACAATATTGACCAAATGGTTCAACATATTCTCCACCACGATCACTTCTCACCCTTTAATCCTTTTGTTTAGTTGAGTTTCAACTTCCTTCTTATAGAGAATAAATTTTTCTATAGCTTCATCTTTGCTTTTAAGCAAATATACATAGAAATTTTTTGTGCTATCATCAATGAAGGTAAAAAATATTTATTCTCTCCTCTAGTTTGAACAAATTTTAAGATACAAGCATCACTGTGTATGAGATCAAGAGGTTCTGTATTTCTTTAAACGAGTTTAAATGAAGACCTTGTTAGTTTAGCTTCAACACATGTTTCACATTTATGATTATAATTAATGTGAAATGGGGGAATGTGTTCTAAGTTAAGTAATCTACGTGAAGTACCATAATTAACATCTCCGAGTCTACCATGCCATAAATTTAATGACTCAATCATATAAACAGGAGAACAATAATCATTCTTATTTATATTTTTAGCTTTTACAGAGATAGCATTGAGTTTCCACATATTGTTCAATACATATCCCCTTCCCACAAATATTCCCCCTTTTGATAAAACTAACTTCTGGATTCAAACACCATCCTAAAGCCATGTATACTTAGGAGGGTCCCAGAGACAAGGTTCTCTCGTATGTCAAGCACATACAACACGTTTTGAAGTTTCAACTCATTGCCAGAAGTCATCTTTAAAATTAGAGTGCATTTCCCCTTGATCTTGGAAGTTGCAGCATTGCCCATATAGAGTTTTTCTCCTTTCTCACAAGAAACCAACTTAGCAAATGAGTCATTGTACAACAAATATGGCGTGTGGCATAAGTATCAAGCCACCATTCTCTTGGATTTGAATCAACCAAGTTAACTTCAGAGACCACAACACATAGGTCAAGTTCATATACTTTATTGGAAATTTGTGTCACAACATTAGCCTCTTTTGTTCTGGACCATTTTGGAAGCCTACATTCGGATGACATATGTCCCATCTTATTGCAATTAAAGTGTTCCCCTTGGAATTTTTTCTTATTAGAAACACCGCCTTTTGGTCTTAGTTTAGACTCAATTTGAGCTTGCTTTCTTTTCTTGAAGTCCTTTTCTACTTCCACCACATTTGCCTTGGCAATGTTATGATTGGCTGTTTTGTTTAGCCTTTTAGCCACACATTGATTGTCTTCTTCAATTCGAAGTCTCACAATCAGATCTTCCATTGTCATTTCTTTTCTCTTATGCTTAAGATAATTCTTAAAGTCATTCCAAGAAGGCGCAAGTTTTTAATAATGGCCGCCACCTGAAAGGATTCACTTATAATCATCCCTTCTACGATAATACCATGAATGATCAGTTGGAATTATTGCATCTGATTCAGAACAGTTTTAGAATCAACCATTAAAAAATTTAAGAATTTGGCAACTAAGAATTTCTTAGCACCAACATCTTCAGTTTTGTATTTATGGTCCAATGATTCTCATAGTTCTTTAGCTATTTTCTTTACGTTGTATACTTCATAAAGTGCATCAGATAAACCATTCAAGATGTAGTTACAGCATAGGAAATCATAGTGCTTCTATGCTTCGGTAATGTTGAATGCAGTTGCAGCATCCACTTCATCCTCTCTAATAGTAGGAGGATCATCCTTAAAAAATTTGGTCAGATTCAATGTCGTCAAATAAAACAACATTTTATGTTGCCATGTTTTGAAATTCTCTCCATTGAATTTCGCAGGCTTTTCATTATAACTCATGGTCATAGGTAACTTTTGGCTCGCAACCTGAATCTTTGTAGCAACAATCGCATTAGATTGTGAATTGGATGAAGTATCAGATATTTTTCTGTAATCGGAATCAAAACTGAAATAATTAATATAATATGAAGCGAAATATATATTAACCTAAATATATTACCACAGTAATCTGTTTGAGATTGAACTACAACACAAGGAATCTGTCTTTAGATTTTGCATAATATTGAAAAATAGTGTTGTAGTATTATAATCTAAAAATTTCGTTTCATTAATAAAGTTTAAAAAATGTGAAATTAAAATAGAACATGTAATTGGATGGAACAGAATAAATACAAGTGAACAACAACAAACGTTCACAACAGTAAGCACAACCGAAGTGAACAATTGAACACAATCTTTGTCTTTATCTATCACCGGAAAATGATTTTGGAAGAATCAGAGAATTGAAAGGAAAATATTTGAAAGAAAATAGTAAAAAGTTGTGTGTTGAGATGTGTCACAACTTAGCCTTTATATAGGGAGAGGAATTTGTATTGAAAGGCCTTTAAATGAAATGACTTAACCATTTTATTAAAATTTATAACCTTTTGATCAAAAGGTTAACATGAAAAGACATGACTTTTGGGTGAAATGAAATAACTATTTGTTATGAAAAGACTTAATTATTTTTCATGAATAGTCATGATCAATTCATTCATATTTTTCCAACATCTTCCACATTTCATTATTGTTAATGGAGTAAGAAGAAATATACCTGGCAAATACAATAAGGTTCTTTCTACTGGAGGTTCAATTGTTACGGACTCATGTTTTCGTCTTGTCAAATTGGCCATAATAGTTTCCTCTCTTAGTCCAGTGCAAACATCCCCAATTTGTTCCTCCATCTCCAGCAGTTCTTACAAAATAAACGACAAGAGCTTTTAAAACCCTAAGTAATTTCCATTGGACTCAAAATATTTGAGTGTTACCACATAAGACATGTTATCGATGTCAAGCCGCATATCCTCGATAATATCAGGATCCTCAGGTATGCCATACAAATACGAAGGATTGATTACCATCACATCCTGCCATATATTTCATGGTGGTGCAAAATCAGTGTTAAACATTGATAATAATAGCTTTGATTTCTTTCGTTTTCAAAAAATGATATTAATAAACAAATAAAGCTTCAGTTTTACCTCCAGTCGTACGTCACCAGGCATACGTACAAGTCTAAAGGCACCGTGGACCTATTTTGGGAAAGGAATGGTAGTTTAGTTGCAGCCAGTAATAAGAGACAATCTACTTAAGGATGACACATAAACATCGTATTGTAGCAATTTATATAAATGGAAGCTATAGCTATGGGATTATAGTCTATGGAACAATACATCATATACCAATCTTCTCCTATGAGCTTGTATCTCAACTCTCCGGCTAAAACTCGGATGAACATGGGCAGGCCTGGCATTGCCACCTCTTATTGAAACGTCAATGTCTTGGGCATCAGGAGAAGCACCAGGAAGTATTGGACATAAACTCTCTCGTCTCCAGGAATCAGATAGACTGATCACAATATCTCGCCGTCTTTGTCCATATTGTGCAGCCGTATTTGGACTAGATGAGCTTATGGATGAATTTGGTAGATGCATGTTTAAACCCTCTTGGATTCTCAAAGAGGAGGCGTTTGTATTCTCATTGACCGAGTTCATGTTTGTTGGCACGTTTACCGAAGAAATAATCATATTATTTCTTGTGTTGTTTCCGAGGTTCTCTTCCTGTTGCAAAGTTTCTCTTACGTTTGCAGTATGATCAAGAGAGACAGAAGAACAACCAACCCATGACAGGTTTGTCCCATTCCAATAATGTTGCAGAGCTTGCGATGAGTTAGGGACTTGCACAGTTGGCTGCACGGTTGAATTTACTAGCACTGGCGCTGGTACTGAGCTTGTAAGGATAAAGGGGAGTTGGCCAGTTGGTTGTGCATTAGAATTTCTCGAGTTCCATGTCCACAAGTTTCTTTGAAAGTTATCAACTTGCCTAGCCTCAATTGGAATTTGATACAAGTTACAGGATGTTAGCAATGCAGCCCCAAGTCTTGAATGATCATTGAAGGAATTAGCTGCTACATTTAAGATGCTAACATTGTCTTGGGCAATAGTCCTTTCCTGTTGAGAATTCTGAGCTTCACGTGCAAAGCTTGAACCCAATTCAAGAGCCTTTCTTTTGCTTAAAAGCCTTCTTTTACCATCAACCGGAAGACCATCTGGACTTATATTTTCTTCAATAACATATCCAGCTACTCCTGAATGAATCATGACTGGACTCGAAGAACCACTGGAGTTTTGAATGTTATCACCACCTGTTGTTGCTCCTGCTCGAAGAAGGTGTAATGATATGTATGGTCCATTTCTCTTACTTGCATCAAAGCTATGTTGGAGGGGAACAGAATCGGCCACTACCGATGGTTCGATCGGGCCATTATCGGTGACCCTGTTATTATTTTGTATAAGAGGATTAAATCTTGGTTCAGACCTTTGCGTCGTGACAATCTGATCACCGAAAGGCTAAAGCCAAAGGTCATCACCCAAGAATTGAGCAAAACTGACATGGTTTTGGGTATCGATACCAGAACTGGTTTGACCAATCTCTCTCTTGGAAGTGTGTCCATCAGGAACCACATTATGTTGATCAGAACCAACATCACCATTGGAGTCAAAGTTTCCAATTTGAAAAGGATTGGAGCTATTGCCTTGACCTTGACGGTTCATTCTTGCCTCAAATTCCTGTAAACAAATAATCCAAAAATTGACTTAGAAATAAAGTAATAACCTAGTTTAGTACAAGTGCAACGTGACAATATAAGATATGCATGATATCTGGATAAATAAGATTTTTGTGCAAAGCAAAGCAGGTATTTGTTGCATTATAAGCTTCTTGTTTTTCTTTTTCTTTCCTACTTTGTTCTTCGTGTCTTGAAACTTCTCAAATTAACCTAAATATGAGATTTAAATAGCGTCCCCCCGACCGCAATAGCATCTCTTGTCTTTCGATATTGTTATTGTATGACCGTAATCACTGAAATAGAGTTCGTTATGTTCGCAACCACGATATACACAATGCGACCGCAACCACAATTTAAATTCCTTTCCTAATTCAAATCAAACTAACTAGTGGTTTTTAGCTTTAGCCTAGATTCTCTTGTCATTCTCAAATAAACCTAAATAATGGATTTAAATAGCAGTCTGCGCCCGCAATAGCGGTTTGATAACGTTATTGTATGACTACAATAACCGCAATCACCAGAATAGGTCCCGCTACGTTCAGAATCGCGATATACGCAGCACAATTGAAAATGTGACCATAATCTGAATTTAAATCCCTTACCTAATTCAAATCAAACTAACTAATGTTTCTAACTTTAGCCTAGATTCTCTAGTCGTTCTCAATGTTTGGACATTCAAAACAACAATAATTATTACTTATATTTTTACATGACAAAGACAAAAATAACATGATTTGATTGTTCTTTTAAAGAAGGAATTGTTGGATATTGAATTTAAATTTTTAAAATATTTTTAATCAATTTTTTATTTTATTTTAATGAACGTAGTAGTCATGCATGAATATACTTAACTAGGATACTGCCCACACTAATAGTGACTTTCAACATTTATATAAAATGTTGTTTGAAGCGAATTTCATGGTTGTTGGTTTGAGTTGAGTGTCTGAGAATGCCTTATTGATTTTGGTCGATGGTTGTTGGATTTGTTACTCCTTTAGATGTAGTTTTTTCCTAGTTAGAAAGGTTTTTAATGAGGTATACAACTTAGATTTTGAGATTGTTGTTTAATTCCTTAATACAACATTTATATAAAATGTTGTATGCGATTTAGCATTATATGTAAGTGAATGAAAGTCATACAAGTATAAAACAAGTGTGTTCATTTTTTCCCTAATGGTTGTTTCTTTCCCACAATATTATTTCTCTTTCTATCTTTAGTTTTAAAAGGCAGAAGGCGTATTGAGACGCAAAGGGTCCCTGAAGCCTAGACGCAAGGCGCAAGGTGAAGGCACAATTCTTTCAGAGGTTAGACATACTAAAAGGTTTATAAGTCAAATCTAGATCATATCCACACTCGTTAACCACAGGTTCAATCATGAATAACTTAATTTCTTCCTCATACTCTATTCCGTCACCATTGCTTGTCGCCTTCTCAAGAGTCAATACCTATTACCACCATTCACGAGACTCATTGCTTGTCCCATGTGTTAATATGTTAGGAAGTTATTGTAGCCCTAATTTTACTTGTTGGGCCAAACCAATAATATTGACATGCCCAATCAAGGTTATATAAAACTAGTTTTGCTTAGTTTTACAACAATCGACCTCCTCTTTTTTGTCTATTGATATAGAGTTGGATTCATGCATTATACAACATGGAAATGTGTGCAGTCTCCTCACTTGGGTCAACTCTTTAACTCCTGCCATTAATGTGGCTTGTGTATTTACACATCACTGTTGGATTCACGCATTAAACAATAAGGAAATGTGTGCAGTCTCCACGCTTGGATCAACGCCTTGACTACTGCTATTAATGTGGCTTGTGTATTCACACATGATTGTTGCTTAGTAAATTTATCTGTTTATTCTGCTCATATCTCATTTCTTCTCATTCCACTGTGTAGTCTCAATTTACTTTGTCTCTTTGAGTTTCTTTTCTGTATAAACTCTTGATGATATTTATTAGCTGAGTAGTGTTTTTATCCCTTATCCATAAGATAGCATAAACCTACGTATGGATCTTAGCACACGTCTAGGAGGGCTTCCCATTTTGTGTTGTGCCTATCTCTCCAAAGACATTTCACTCTGTGTCCACCTGTGCCTGGCGCTTAGCGTGCACCTGGGAGCAGGGTTTCAAATCGCGGTCGTGGTCGTATTTTCGGTTATTTGGGATTTACCGTGATTGCGGCCGTCGCGGGCGCTATTGCGGCCGTCGCGGACGCTATTGCGGTCGTCGTAGGTTACTCGAACGGTGGTGAAACCGCTATATCGCGGCTGAAATCGCGATCGCGGACCGTTTTTTAAAACCCTGTCTGGGAGGGCTTCCCGTTTTGCGTTACGCCTATACCTCCAAAGGGATTTTTCTCTGCGCCTACCTGCACATGACGCTTAGCAAACGCCTGGGAGGGTTTCCCGTTTTATGTTGCGCCTCTCTCCAAAGGCACTTACTCTGCGCTTAGCGTGTGTAGTCGCCTTTTTGAAAACTAAGCTTCTATCTCCTCCTCAAAAATTAGTATTAGAGCTTAATTCGATAATTAGAGAAAATGAACAACAATAGAATGATGTCATTTTATTTTTTTCCTTATAAAAGATAACCATGAAAATTAATGTCTTCCTATAAAGGTTCTACTTGGACTTTGAACTTAAAAATATTTCTAACATTAAAGAGTATAGTATCGTCATTCTAATAATATCTAATTGAGTTCAAATGTTAGTGTAAAAGGATAAAAGAACCAAAGTGTCCTTTCATGAACCCTAAACTTACATAATATATTGTCAATAAAGGAGAAATTTAAGTTTGTGAAAATTTAAGATCAAGTGATAGATATTTTTATAAAATCTTTCAAGGTTAAACATTTTTGAAAAGTGCGTAAAAAAGTTGTTATGATAAAAAAATCAAATTAAGTAGTGATGGGTATTGTAATTTGAAATATTAGAATATTTTTGTCTATTTATTTTTATGTATTTGTGTTTAATATATGCTTTTAGAATAGACGAATGAAGTAATCATAATAATCAATCTGTATAAATTATCATTTATCATCCATCACTTCTGCCTAGCAGAAGTTAACAATTACATGATATACTTCAGTTCCAATGCAAATCTGCATGCAGATAGAGCATTTAACTAATCAGTCTAAAGATGATTGTTTACAGGGATGGATCGAAAGGTGTTGGGATGCGGTCTATCTCTTAGAAATTTCAAATTCCTTTATATTTTATAACTCTTGATCTATTTTCAAGACGAAATCAATGTAATATTCACACATTTATCAAAGTTAATGTGCCAAGCTCACTGCAATCTTAACTATCTTGTTAGCCTTAGATTATGCAAGAGGTCTATAAAATTATAGGCACGTATCAAACTTTTCAAGTCACAATTAAGCATACATATAATGCATAAAATAAGTATATGAGAAAACACATTGCAACTGCAATCAAATTGCCGGTGAGTGATTTTATAAAACCAAGTTAAAAAAAAGGATGAAAGAGGGCAGATTAAAAACAAAGAAGATTGAACGCAAACTCAATCGGAAGTTTTGAATCATATATAAAACCAAGCGTCTCAAAGAGTATATCTTATAACTCTTTAGGAAAAAAAGAACTCAAGCAACAAAATCCATACTGATACCATAAAATCAAATTCCATTCATGAACATACACAAAAGTTAAATGGAAAAAACAAAGTTTTAAAACCAAATGACTTGACACAAAGGAAGATCGAAGAAAAGGGTTTGTACCGAAAGCGACGATGGAAACATGAAGTGAAGTCCTTTAAGCAAACAAACACGACTCTATGAACATCCACAGATTCCTTTAGGTTTTGGTTTCTGCTCTCTCTTTTGTTTTTTCACTCGATACTTATATGAGACTTTATTTTTAGTGCAATGCGAGGTAAGTGGTTATCTGGTGTTTAATGACAAGAGTGAAAGACAGGAGAGAAATGCATGTTTTTGGAGATATTTAAGCGAACTTTCCAATGAAGGATTGGAGTCATTATTACAAAGGAACAAGAGACAAGTATGGTAGTAAGCAGGTGTCATGGTCAGCGTCAAAACATAGTTTCTTGAGATTTTGCAATGGAATAATCACTCTAATTATTTTTTTATCAGGATTTCCTCAAAACATGGTCGCCCGATAGTTTCTTGAGTTTGTGGTTTTTGCTTTCCCTCTCTCTCATTAATCTGGTCGTTTCGAACTTTCCTTAATAGCCGATTTCTCTTTAATTATGAGTGAGTAGATTTATTTATTTATTTATTTATTTATCGAGTTAATTGCATCATACGTCTTCAAATTATGACTCATTTTAAATTGATCTTTAAATTATTAAATGTTTTAATTTCATCCCAAAATTATGAGTATCATTCTAAATTAGTCTTAAAACTTTTGAACATTTCATTTTCATCCCAAATTATGACATACATTCTAAATTGGTCCCCAGACTTTTTGAACATTCCAATGTCATCCCAAACTATATGTAAATATTATTCACATCCCTTGTTAATAAAATCATTAGGCCAAGTTATATTATTATATGTTGCAAAAGAAAATTTTAGGTTAAACTATGGTTAATTACATATTTGGATGAATTTAGGGATGAAATTAGAATATTCAAAAGTTTAAAGACCAATTTAAAATGATGATTATAATTTGGGGACATATGACACAATTAACACTTATTTATCGATGTATTTACTTCGGCTTTATTATTCGAATATATCAATTTATAATTTTTTTATAAATATAATATCTCTGAAAATTATTTATGAAAACGACACCTAATTTTATCACGTATAATAATGGTGTGTGTTATCAACCATGCATTCAAAAAGCACATTTCATAAAAAAAAATCATTATGTTCGATGATAATTCAATTAACAAATGTCTCAATTCATCTTAAAGATGTGACAAACCCATCATGTTTCCCAACCAATCCCTGCCCCTCTGTTTTTCTGAGCAGTCCTTTGCCTTCACTATCCCTAAATCTCCTCCAACAATGA